AAATGCAAGGCAGTAAAGCCACTAAGACACAAGGGGTTACTGGGTGTAGAAGAATTAGGAATAGAAGCATTAATAATGAGCAGAAAGAGTAATCAGGACAGTAGATAGCAATTGACATTGCATTTAAATTTTTGAAAATTAAAGTTGGCTAGGAAGCATTGAGTCAGAAGCTCGAAAACTGAGGTACCCAAAAAGGCATAGCACGTTGAATTAGAACAATCAATCCCTGTGGACTAAATAAAGGGTTCGGTTTGAAATTCCAGCAATTATCACCTGAAGAAGGCCAGAGTGTACAGTGACCAAAATGTTGTGAATGTGGCAATAAGGTCCGAACAATGTAAATAGTGTCAATAGTTACAATACCTCACTCAGCTCAGAAATATAGACAGATCCTGAAGAAGGCCAAAGTGTACAATGGCTGGAATGTTATGAATGTGGCAATAAAGGTGAGGACAACAGTCTGAACAATGTAAATAGTGTAAATAGTTACAATACCTCAGCTCAGAAATATAGGCAGATCCTGAAGAAGGCCAAAGTGTACAATGGCTGAAATGTCATGAATGTGGCAATAAAGGTGAGGACAACAGTCCGAACAATGTAAATAGCGCAAATAGTTACAATAGCCTATCTCAGAAATATAAACAGATGATGAGAATATGAGGATTGTGCTCAAAGTTGTGGACAAACTGTCTGAAGTTCGTATTTTATTATTTTTGTTATTTTTGTCATTATCAAGGACTGATGTGGTGTCTGTGTGGTAGTTAGAATTCCTTTGTTTGAATCCTGGTATTCTTTGGGAAGCTGAATGCTTGAAATTGTTTAGCATGGTTTATTTATCTATATTATTTTATTATTTAATTAATTGATTTACTTATTTATTCCTGTATTTTTATAATACTAATATAATATAGTCATGATCTGGCGGCTTAACTTCAGTCACTGCTGTAAGGTTGCTTCTCTGTGCCTTTTTGATAAATACTTTCATGGTAATTGTTTGAATGAGCTTCTCACTATGGTACCTAGATTGTATAAATTTAAGCGCAATACTAGACTGGCAGTGAGATCTCATCAATTTACAATTGAGCTGGCAAGATGTAACTGTAAGTTCTATGCTGACAGTTTCTTTTCTCGCACTTCTCACTTGTGGAACTCTCTTCCAGCTCCTTGCTTTCTAGCCAAGTTTAATCTGCAAAAATATAAATGCAATGTCAATTGCTATCTACTGTCCTCCTGATTACTCTTTTCTCTTTCTCTTCATTATTAATGTTTCTGTTCCTAATTCCTCCACTTCTTGTAACCCCTTGCATGTTAGTGGCTGTACTGCCTTGCTTGGGGTGATACCAATTAAAAAAAAAATGTGTGCACATTAATTAATATCATATGCACTTCAATATACCTTCTCCTGTGGTGAATGATATTTTATTTAATGTGGACTGTTTATTTTGCATAATAATAGCTTCTACAGTTGAGTCTTTCCTTGCACTGACAACTGTAGAGTATTTTACTAGTATCTGTCTTATATTTAGTTGTACTTTGGTCATTCATGAAAATCGAAAGTATTTGAACAAAAATATGAACTTCAGACAATTTATTGACAACTTTTAGCTTAATACTCAACACCTTTTCTGAAAATTGAAAAAAAATACAATAAAAAATTAGACCTTGTCGGTTCATTTTAATCAAACTTGTTTCAATAAATATTTGCTGCTTACACGCACGCACGCACACATGCACGCACGCACACACGCACACACACACACACATACATACACACACACACACACTTAATGTAATTAATATAATTAATCATGTGTAATGGCTATTAGGAATGAGGCCACACAAATAGAATGCGATTTATTTATTTATTAATTTAATTTGAATTTTATTTTTATTTTATATATTACTGATAAAATATATGTGCACATTAATTATATGGACTTCAATATACCTTCTCCTGCGGTGAAGGATATTTTATTTTATGTGGACTGTTTATTTTGGATGATAATAGATTCTAGAGTTGTGTGCCTTTCCTTGCACTGGCAGCTGTAGAGTATTTTACTTTTATCTACTAGTATCTGTCTTATATTAATAGTTGTACTTTGGTCGTTCATTATGTTTTGGTTGATGTGTACACAGATTGCACTAAGTTTCAACCAGAGACACGTCAATCTGTGAGAGAGTGGGGTGCATATGTGCCCAATGTAAGTATTTAATACTGTATTATGATTATTAGTGTTGGAGTCAGGAGGGGCATAAGAATTCATAGGCAACATTATTTTTACATAGTGAGTGGGATTTATGAGGCCCAGTGTTGTTGGTAATAAGTTAGATGTTTTAAAATTTTTGTAGTAGATAATAAATCTTAAGTGTTTGTTAAGATAATTGAATGATATGCACTGGTGAATTATGTTTTTAATTGCTTTTTCATTCTGCTTATAATTAGGCTGCATTTGATTACAATGGAATAAGTTAAGACAGACCTTGTCAGTTCGTTTTTATCAAACTTGAATACTTGCTGCCTAAGTATAACTTATTTGTACACACACACACACACACACATATATATATATATATAAGGTTCGGTTGTTTTCTTTAACCTTGAATGGCAACTTTCCTAGAAAAAAAAACATTGATAAAAACTTGGTGTATTTGGACTAACATGAGTGTCAGAATTGGACTTCAGAATTGGACTTCAGGAAGATCACCTGGCCTTGTAAAGCCTTGCATCAAATCATGATAAATCCTTTGTTAGGCAGGACACACTTTACTTTGTGTGAGGTTAATCCCAGTCCAGCCTCAATAAGAAAACATGACTATGTATTCTCAAAAGTGTTTATAACACTTAAAATTCACCAAAGTCTGTGTTTTATCAAGTCCAAAGTTAGTACAGTTGTTTCTCAGGAGATTTTAGAGCACTCCATGCTTCCGTTTCCTGGAAAGCTTTATGGAGATGTTGATTTCCTTTTTACAGCAGAATTTGGTACCTGTTCACAGTGCCAAAAACAAGAAGTAACTGGTTTGCTAACTATATCATTACTCTATTGATTGGCCAGCCAACTTGCCTAACCTGAACTCCATAGAGAATCTATAGGGCATTGTCAAGAGAAGGATAAGAGACACTAGATCCAACAATGCAGATAAATTGTAAGATGTTCACCCAATACAAGGCCCAAGGACCACTCAACGTAGAGGCTTACTGTGTGGAGTTCCATGAGTCTAAGAAAGGGTGAGGAGTGAAATTCTTGGGACTATGCAGGAAAGATAATGGCTAAGTCTTGACTTAAAGATGTCAAGATTTAATTAGTGAATGAAAGTATAGTCAGAATCATGGAGTAGAAATAGAATTTAGAAGGAACCGGAAATGCAATCCTAAACAGGATACAAGGGATAAACTGCTGTGACACCCAGTCGTCGGTCTCTGGTTGACTCCCTTGTTGTGGCGCGAAACTGCAATATTTCTTCTACCAGTGTTTTGGGGTTGACTCTTTGTTGCTGCCACCAGCCTGTATCCCAGTCGATTGGTGGTTGTTGCTACTCAGTGAAATCCCCTAGTCAGGATACCGATATGGGACACTGGCCTGTCTGAGGTTGAATTCTGGTTGTCAATGTTAATGGCTTTACCAGCTGTACTGGTTCAATACCAGCTCTATTGTTCCCAGCTCACTTGCAATGTCTGGTTACTGGAGTAACTGCTTTGATCTCAAGTCTAACCTACCCACGTTGTGACTTTGATCTTAGATAGACAAGATCAATTGAAAGGGGGAGAATTCCCTCAAGTTGAGAAACTTTGCTCTATACAGTAAGGCAACTCTGAGAGAATTAGAAGTCCTACCTGGATTCCTTATTGGCGGCCACAATCTTAACAACATAAAATATGCAGATGATGATACAGTGTTGATAGCAGACATAGAAAAGAAACTGCAAGAACTCCTATAGAAGGTAATGAAAGAAAGCAAGAAGAAAGGACTAAATATCAACTGTAAGAAGATTGAATGCGCGGTTGTTAGCAAAAGAGACAGCCCAACATGCAAATGATAAATTAGAGAAATCAAAATCAAGTAAGCACAAAATTCAAATATCTGCAAAGTGTTTTGACAGAGGACAGAAAGTGCATCACAGATATTAAAAGATACCTTACAAAAGCTGAGCAAAGTATTAAGAAATAAGAAAATCTCATTACGCACATCATCATCATCCGCTTGACTTTTGTAATCATAGTAGGGAACCAAATGCAGAAGCCACACTAAATCTCCTCCACAATGGTTTATCAACAGCAGTCATCAGCAATTCTGGTATGACCATATGACTTATCTTCACCAAAAGGAGATAATCGCCTTTCATATCCCTACAAATTCTTATGTTCTTTAGAAGATTGTATCTCCAATGCTAATAATCAAAAAACAACATTAAATTATTACATTGGTCATATATGCACCACACTTTCTTGTAGGTTGACTTGTCACTTGCTGAAACTTAGTGCAATGCATGTGCATATTTGTCACATCACAAAAAACTAAAATACAATGATTAACTTCAGACAATATTTAGTGGATAATTTCAGTTCATTTTATTATCTGCAAATTGCCATGACTTCTTGAGAAAGACAGTGGAGTGGTTTCCCATTGCCTTCTTTATGGTTTTGAATTATTTTTTTATTACTCTTAGACTGTTTTCTACACAAGGCTAGAAAGCTGTCTATCAATTAATCCATAACTTTATTGTCAAAAAATGTATAGTAGGTAGGTAAGTAGAAAAATGAAAATTAAAGAAATACGAAAACACAGTTAATATCTGACAAATATTTTAATAAGGGTTATTCGAAACAGAAGGAAAAAGTGTAAAAAAATCAATTTCATGACAGCAAAAGTGAAACAAGGTAAATTATCAAATAGGCTGTACTAAGCGATAAAATTTCAAAACGAGGCCGTAGCGGGAAGTACGGATGATTTTATTAATGTAAATAAAACAATATTGATTTCTCGTGAACCAGGAAAGCGACAATGAATGTTCTGAAACACTGCATCTTGATTATAGACTTATGTCATATAGACAAATGTAAGAATTTTATTTATTAATCTGCATTAAGTTCATGGGCTTTGTTGTGTTTTGGTTTTTTCGTAAACAATATTTGTATTCGTGGTTGAAAGGTAGAACTTTAAAAAATGGCGACTCTCGGGGGAAAAATTATTTCAGTTTAAAAAAAAGTAATAAATTTGTGATTTAATAAGCATTTATTGATTTAAAAAGTAGTTTTATAGTCTAAGAAAAATTCTGTCAAATTAAAATAAATAAAACGATTTATTTAAAAAAATTACCTAATTTAAAAAAAAAATGTTATGATTGAAATAATTTTCAAATAAAATTTAATTTTTAAATATATATATTTTTTATTTCCGTCACAAATAAATTAATTAATTGGCCTTAAATCTGTAAGTCACTTTTTATATTAAAGTTCATTTTTTTATATTTGTTTTAAGTTAAAAAATTGTCAAGGAAGTCATTCACTTTGTATTTGTTTGGTCAACATGCAAATCAATGTAGAAAGCATATTGCAGAAATTTTGATTTAAAAACAAAACTACAGACTACATTCTACAATGTGAACTTCTTCTAGGCTATGTCCCTTCAGGACGTTCGCGATCATAGCTCTCCACAATTTCCTGCCCTTTGTAGCTCTTCTTAATAACTCTTTTCCTCAGTTCCCCTTGCCTTCAATCTGTCCTGTGGTTATCAAATTTTCCAAACCCTCTTTCCTCATTATATACCCGAGAAATTACAACATAATAACTTGAGGAGATTGTCCAGCATTTACTATCAAATAGGAAAACTGATAACACTTAGTGATATTACATAACAGTTACTCTTTTCTCTTTCTAATGAAATATTATTGTTTCTTACTTAGCTTTTGGTAGGTAATGTGAACTAAAAAATGTTTTTAAAAGTAAAACATGTCTGTTAATAATAATAATAATAATATTATGTGCTAATACCCTTGGGAAAGGTATGAATTGTCTTCTTCTCCCCCTAGCTATGGGTAAATAGCATGACAGACCCAGTTCTATAGCCTTGGATGGCAACTGGTCTACTACAGAAAAAAATGGCAACCTACTTTGGGAAAAAATCTGCCTCATCAATCATGTATCAAAAGATACATGACACCTAAGTGTGTATCATGCTTGGCACATAACTGATTGATAAATTAATACTCTAGACAATTTAGACTAGAGTATGTCTTTTGGATTTGTTTTTTGATATGCATTTCAAAATAGCTGAAATTTAAATTGTGAAAATTGGAAGTTTTCCTAAAAATTAATCTGCAAAACTATTATTAATATAGGTATTTAGATTTATTTTTAATATCCTTTAGCACTGAAATGTTATACTTCCTCTCTATCTGGAAAATTAACAATTTCAAATTATGAAGTATGAAAAATCTCAGTACAAATTGTACCCCCCCCCATCTTAAGTGGTTCTTGAGCCTTGTATTAGATGAACGTTGGTATTTAAAAAATATGCATATGTGTGTGTAATTTTTAAACTATCAAAAGAGCTATTTAAAGATAGAATAAGTGAAACAAATAAAAGTCATAACTTCAACTGAGGGTGGGGATAAGTAATATTTTTATTTAAAATAGGAAATATTTTAATAAGTAAGGGCATATGGCCAAATCACATTGAAGCACTGGTTCCTGTATGATCACCGACATTAAGCAATGTCGAGCCAGCATGGTGTGACTGCTTGGGAATACAAGGTATTATAAGCTTGGATGTGCAGGTGGTGTAATAGATAATAGCTTGGAATTCTTAATCAGAGAGCCAAGTTTCAATTTCTGTGTTTTGTGTTTATTATGTTCACTTATGTGCAAATACCCTTGGGAAAGGTATGAATCCACCTCTTCTCCTCCTAGCTATGGGCTAATTAGTACTAAACCATTATCTCCAAAACAAATTTCTTACAATATAACAAATATTTAATTTATGGTAATGTGATAAGTAATATTTTGATAAAGTAAATATTATCTATGTTATAGGATTACTGCTTGAAAATAGCTTGATTTAAATGAAAATATTGCTTTTTTTACGACTTCCTTTCTAGAATAAACAGGACATCAAAAAATGAGGTGGGGGATAAATCAAATGCTAAAAGGGGAAGGGACTGAATCAGATATTAAATTTTAAAGAAATGTTATTCTATATTTTTTATTTGATCCTCATAAAATGAACATTTTTTTGTTCCTACAATTAATATTTTTTGTTTTCATTGCAAATATGGGTCAATCTATTTCAAATCAAGCAACAGCCACTGGTGAGCCTCTCAGAAAAATCTGTGAAAATTCACAGGTATTCTTGATCTAATTTCTTGATAAATCTCAAATATTACATCTGTATTTTTGATTACTTTTAAAATCAGAGCATCTTGAATTTCACATTTTTTTTTTGCATTTAGTTAAATAAGGCTTTCAATGAAATTCTGACATTCATTACTCCAAGGACATTTCATTAACAGATTTTAAATTTGGTCACAACAGTTATTGTTTACTGTAGATTACAAAAATATAAACAGCTTAGGTGTGTCTTATATGCCCAGATGCAAAATTATGCTGTCCATTTTGAAAGCTACTGATTTACAAAGTAGATCAGATAGAATCCAAATTAGTTTTCCTGTCATTTATGACCAAATAGATTATTTCTATGCAGTAAACATATTCATTCCTGTTATAGGGATATCAGGATTATTGCTTGAAAATTGATTGATTTTTTTTAACATACTTAAAAATGCCTATTTTCATGATATCAGCAAATCAATTAGCTTAAGTAAATTTTTATATTTTTACCACATATCCTTACATATCTGAAGATCATGTGACAAATTACATTTTGTGGATAAACTTCTATCTAGGTATATGTTTTTAAAACAGCTTGTTATGACAAAATCATGGTTTTGTTGATTTTGGCCCCTTATAAATTTGTTAATTATGAAAATATGAAACTGAAAGTTAGTACCTTTATAATTTCCTATGCAAATAAATTAGTTTAGGCTTCATTTTAGATTTGTTCCAAATAGTTTAGATGCTATGGACCCTTAAGAATGTGTGTATGTGTTCTTTTTTTTGTCTTTTTTTATGAGGGGGAATGGTTTACAAAATTTTTAACTGAACAAAGAAACTAAATAAAGGACATTAAAATAAAGATTCTACATGATTATTTTAATTTTAAATCCATCAAGTAAAAATAGTGATGTATCACAATTTGTTCATGTTAAGCAATTTTATTAAGGCTTAAAATATTCACAAATCAAGATCATTATTTGTAAGGTAAAAATCACATTATGGATATTTTTAAAGGAAATAAATTTAAGGAAATTTAGAGAGTTAGTGGGAATGTTAAAATCTTAGGTGAAGGTTGATAAGCTTCTGAATCTAGTCACCTGTGGTCATAGATTGATTTGTGATGGAATGACCCACATCCATTTTTTTGTTTTTGTATTTATTTTCTGAAATAAAAAGTTTTAGAAGCTTATGCTTTGAACACTCCCCACAACTAAAAAAAAAAATTAAAAAAAATGAAACTTTCCAATTTATTTAAAAAATTAATGACTAATGATTTTGGATGAACAAATAATGTTATATTTTTATTTTTGATATCTTTTTTCACAAATTTCAAACATTTTGATATCTGTGTTTATTTATTTCCCACTCTTGTAATTTGTCTTGCTTTCTAGTGTTTTTATTTATCTAACATTAAAAAAAAAGTGAATTCTTTGGGAGCTTCTAAAATATTTAATGATGTATGTAATTTTTATATACATAAATTAAATATGTTCCAAAGGTTGTCATATCCAGTGGTAGTACAGTAGGAGGGACAAACTCCACTGCCTATAAAATGCTACCATAGCAGGCGTTTCAAATAGCTTGTGACAAACTCCAACTCAGAGAAGGAGTGGAGGCAGAACACTGGCACCTCACAAGGAGCTTTGTGGAGATAGAGTACATCAACCCAGGAAGGTAAAACCCTGATTTTAAACTTTCACTGTCTTGTGATCATATCCAAACAAGGAAAAGGCTATGGAAATAAATCCAGTTAGAAAAACTAAAGCCCCAAATGTGATTGGCTGACAACCTTCTGGCAACTCTGGTCCTAAATGTAATGTACTGTATTCCTTTTGGATCTTATCAGTTTAGCTAAAAGGTGGGTGAGGCCATGTTGTCTGTTCAATTGCACAATCTCCTAGGCCAACAGGAGGTCACTAGTCTCACCCACAAAGGACTGAATTTTGATCAAACTGGGCGCTACTTTTATCTCATAAGAGAAACGAATCCCTAAAAAAAAAAAAAAAAAAAAATATGTCAACTCAAAAGCATTGTTATGCATTGAAATTAAATTTAGTTTTCTGTTTGTTTTTTGGTTTCAGCAAAAGGTGGGGTTTGAAAAATGCTGTGGATGTAGAAAAACAAAGTTAGGATTTTCCCTGGTACTACTGCTTCAAAATTAAAATTGAATTTTCCCTAGTATCAAGACATTTTTATCTCTAAGCTATTTATTTTAAATTATCATCATCCCTACGAGATTTTTCAGTGCTGTTTTTTCCCCTCATATTTTATAGCTGAGTTGAAAGAATTTTTGAAGAACCTTGATGAAGCAGGAACACAAGTCTGTCCAGTTTATATGAACTGGAATAAACAAGAGGTAAGCAAACATGAATTTTGGTAAAATTACAAATAAATTCAAATGTTTCTTAGTTTAAAAAGAACTGACACTTATTCTAGCATTTTTTATAGATTTTTTAATATAAAAAATACTTAAAATATGATTAGTTCATACTTGATCATAAGATTAAAACAACACACTCTTTAATGACTTTAAAATGTTCTGATTTGGTACATGAAAATTATAGAATTTTTAATAGACTATAAGAATCTAGTGCTAGAAGTTAAGCAGTATTTTGTTTAGTCAATTGAAAATCTAGTTAGTATATTTAAAAATTCATTAGCTAATTAAAAATATGGGATTGAATGGTAATGACAAATCTTTTCCAATGTCTGAATGTTTATAATTTATGATTTTTTAGTTTTTGAGTGATCCAGATATTAAATGGTTGAAAGCTGACATTTTGGCCTCAGAATTGGATGAGTTGTCTCCCTTGGAAGTGACAATTTTAGAAGCGTAAGTAATTTTTATAGATTGATTATTTCCTATTAAATTGATTGTTTTCATTGTAAACACAAATTAGAATATATAAATATAAGCAAGCAAGCACTAATAACCAGAAATGTTTGACAAGACTATCTCTGGGTTTTAAGCCCAGAGATAGACTTGTAAATCAATTAATGAACACTATAATATCTGGTATTATAAAGATTCAAATGAAAATCTGTTGTTATAGATTTCTAAAAGAAAATTTGATATATTTTTCTTAAAAAATACGGTATTAGACGTTTATAAATTTCTGATATTAATTATAATTTTCTACCTATGAGCCTGTAATGCCCACCATCCACAAAAAAGGGATGGGTAGCCATTAATGGTTTAAACTTGTCCTGCTAATTATGTACTCAAGATTTCTTTGTAAGGCATAAAAAATACAGTTTCTAAAATTAGTTAGACATTCAAAACTCTTTGTAGATTTGCTATTGTTAACAAACACAGTGTTTTGTTAACAACAGTGACTATACAAAAACGGGATTTGAACAGATGAATAATGTTGAAGATGTTAATTCTTTTAAAAGTTTTTTCTCTTTTATTAAATGCCATGACTTAGGCAATCATGGCTTGACACAAATTCTTTTTCATTATTATCTGTGAAGTATCCTGACATTTTGGAAAAGGTAGCATTGTGGCGTCCTGTTGCCTTCTCCACTCTTTTGAATTCAGAGTTGTCCTTCTGCTAGACTGGCTGGCAACTCAATTGCCCAGTTTATTGTACTATTTAAACCATAGCTGGGAACAAAGAAGATGGATTCATTTATTTCCCAAGAGTATTTGTCTGAAAGTGAATGGAATAGACTAAATGAGAATTTTAACACAGTCTTCCAATTATAGACAATGCAAAACTAGAGTTTAATCTATTAACTGATTATCATACTGTTGTAACATTTTCTTTTTTGTAAGTATATAAAAATATATATAATGTACAGTTTTATTAGAAACAACAAAAAAAAAGTTTGCTAAAAGTAGCTTCATGTGTGGTATTATGAAACCCATAATGATTATTTTTAAGGTATTGTTGATTTTAGCAGACAAACTTTTGCATTGCAAACACCAAATTAGCTTTCCTATATATTTCCTTTGCATCATTTATAAATATTACTTTACTTTTTATTCGATATGGAATCCCCACAAAATATAGTGTTTTATATATTAATTTTATATATTTGAAATTGCAGTAGCCTGTCTCTCAATTTCAGTCAAGATTGTTTTAGGAGTTGCCATAGAAGGTTATGACAACACAACCAAGAAATTCAAATTCAAATTTCATTGGCAGTACTAACATTTTGCTTGGTGAAAATAGTCACCTACAGAGTGCTAAAGGTTAACTATTGTTTTGATCCTACTTTGGATTTGAAAGATCAGGTATCAGGAATGACACAAAGAAATGTCTTATAATTGTGTCTTATAATAAGTGTAGGTACTGCCAAAGATTTACTAAATACATGATGAAAAAATGACCCAAACTGAATAAAAACATAGATTTATTGTCAAAATCTTTGTTATTATTAAGAAGAAAGACCTAAGGATTTTTTGACTATTAAAGTATATTTTAAAAAATTTTTAGAATCTTCAAAATTTTGGTTAATTTTTTTTGGGGGGGGATCAGTGGGTGACCATAAACTAGTATAAGAAACATAAGCACCTTTTTGTGGTTGAAACACTCATTGATTTGGAAATTCTTGCAAAAATCAGATAATTGTCGGATTTTAATGAAATTTCTAGGACTTCTTCAAAAATGAATGAAATTATTTTTAAAATGTTTCTTTTTTTTTTCTTTTTTTTAATCTTGGTAAAAATATTTTAATATTTATATGAAAAATCTGCTCTGAATCATAAAATAAAAATTGCTATAAAAGTAAGAAATCAGAAAAGCTTTTTAATTACTTTTATGAATAAGATTATATCATGGACACATTTCTCCTGTGTCTAATGTTATTTTGGTAATGCTTTATACTTATGGTTGTAGCAGTATTATCCTGAATTTAGTTTTAGTAGATGAATCAATGTCAAACATCACTATTAATTTTTTGCTGGTATTTAATTTGATTTTCATATTTTATTGTATGAAGCTTTGTCAACCATTATTCAGTTTTGACTAGTATTTATTTAATTTTTTATTTATTGTATAAAATACGAATATACATTAATTAATTTCAAGAATAAAATCAATATGGAATATTGCTGGCCATCAGCACGATTTTAAAAAAGATTACTTGAATAACAACAGCAACTTAGAAAATATTAGATGAGACATTTAGATTAATGCGCGGAGAGACATTGAACAAGGGAGGTAACTAGTGTTGGACAGTCAGATCAGATTAAAACGATTTAAAGTTGTTTATTAAACAATCAGGTAAAATTTTTCGCATGAACTTTTAAAAATTATTCTTTTTTCCTTTAGCTTTATTTTTTTGAATTGTAAAAGACAAATTTTCTGATGAAATTAATCTTATATTTCTATGATTTGTTGCTTGTCTTTTTTAATTAAAATGTTTTATTCAATTATTTCTATCTGTAGAACTGCTTATGACGAAATTTATATTTTCAGAGGGAAAGAGAACCTTTGTGATATTCTTCACAGAATTGCTGACGAACTTCCTGTTGCTGGTTGGTAAAGCTTTTCTTTGGATAGTCTTCCGGCATTTTATAATGTCTCAATTGCTGTTAGTCAAACGACCACTGACAGAATTTTGTTAGAATTATTATTTTGCCTACTTATCTTTCTGGTAACATGATATGTCTCTCTTTTCTTTTTTTTTAAAAAATATTCACCCCAAATAAGGTGACACTTCCACTAAAATGCAAGGGGCTACTGGGAGTGAAAGAGAATGAAAAGACTTTAGAAGGAACTGGAAGCCTAATCCCAAACAGGAAACAAAGGATAAACATCTACTCCTGTTCAAAAGACCAGGAAAGAGTGTTAACTGGATGATAGGCAAATCTATCTACTTCTATTGAAGAAAAAAATAAAATAAATGAATAAATAAATAGTAAATAAAATTTCAGAGTTTATGCGAAGTATAGTTGAAGTAGCTTTTAAAAGGAACCAGAAACCAAATTCTAAACAAGAAACAAGGGATAAAGCTCTACTCATGTTCAAAAGATCTGGGAGGGGTAAAGATAATCTTGTTTTGTCATTATTTTCCTATCAGTAATGATGATGAGCAGATTTGAAAAATGAAAGTTCAGGCGTTTCTATCAAATAATGAACAATAAAGTCAATTTCTTGTGCTTTCCATAAAACATTGAATATATATGAATTATCTCTTCCATCAGAATATTTTGCATATTTCTTTTTTTCATGATAAACTCCCTTGAACTTCCAAGGCAGAATAGAGCCACAACATTGCTGCCCTGATTTCAGAAACTAGTAAATTCCATAAGGTCGAATTGATAGTACCATAAGCAGACCATTTTAAAAAACAAAACAAAACATTTCACTGCAAGCAAGGCAATAAAGCTACTAAGATGCAAGTGGTTACTGAGTGTGAGAGTGTGGAGACACGCCAGAGAGTCTTAGCAATATTTCTTGGAAACTTCAGAATAAATGAACAGAATCATAGATATAAACAAATAATATATGTTTATTTATTTGACTTCAATTGGATCAAGTCCTTTATAATTCAGGCTGGCGAAAGTTCATTCGGCTGGATAGTTGGTAGTTTACAAGTCAGACATTGGTAGTAGTAGGGAGTGTGTTTATTTTGAGAACATGTTGCAGACACCAAAGGCTGTGTTTTCTTGGCCCTCATGAAGGGCAGAAAAATGTTTTAAGCAGACAAATGCCTAGTTTCTTCATGTGACACACTTGGTTAGTTTCTCTGCTACTGTCTGTTGGCTGTCTCTTTATATACACTTAAGAAAGGCTCCAGAATACTTGGCACGAAGCTTGGTTTTGGCTAACATCGAAAGTGTCTTTGCTTTTTTTGAATGGCCAAAATTCTTTTAGTTATTTTCCATTGTTCTTTTTTTTTATTGTGGAAGTTATATGTGAAGCGTCTTTTATTTTGGTATAATTTTAATTGCAATAACTAGACTCGGCATTTGGCAGCAGTTGTTCAGTCTTTTCTTCTTCCTCTTTTTATACAAGAGTTGCTTTCTCATTAGTTCAGAGAGAAAGTGATATGAGTTTTAAAAGAAAGCAAATCCCTTATTTTAATTTGAATTCTTTTTTGTTAATATTTTCATATTTTATTTTTAAATCTGGGCTCACCACAAGAGACTACGAGAAAAAGAAAACATTATTAAGGAGAGAGGACAATAAAATAAAAGAATTAAGAAGATAGAAGATAATGATTGACATTGCATTGAAATTTTTGAAGATCAAAGGCAATAAAGTCACTAGGACGCAAGGGGTTACTGAGTGTTAGAGAATATGAGAAAAACTATTATTAAGAAGAGAGGGCAATAAAAGAACGAGAATTAAGAAGATAGAAGATAAGGATTGACATTGCCTTTAAATTTTTGAAGATCAAAGTTTACTGGGAAGCAAGAAGCTGGAAAAGATTTCACCAAGCAAGAAGTGTGAGCAAAGAAACTGTTAGCATAGAACTTAGTTAATCTAGCCATTTCAACTTTAAAATGAGACCTTGCTGATAATCTAGGACTGCACTTAAATTCATAAAGTCTAGGTAACATAGAAGAAACAATAATTACCATATTTCTGGAAAAAAAACAATTACCATGAAAGTATTTATAGAAAATGCATAGGGTGGCTACGTTATGGTGGTGGGAAAAGTGTCTGAAGCTGAGATGCCATGTCAATTTGAATTTCGAATTGATTTTCTCCTAGGTTGGTTGCTAGCAAAATGCTAAAGAGATCACTATTTCTTTCTTTGTTATCTATCATATTTTCTTGTGCATAATGTACCAGTATGAAGTTTGGTTAAAAGCAAAAAGGAACGATAATTTTGAAAACGTAAGTTTCCTTCAGGATTCAAAACTCAATTTATTAATTTAAATAAAGGAAAATATAATGTTAACAGGTATAGAATCTGTGTATGTGCAATTAGTCATTGGAGTTTGTTTAGTTATTTAAATCTTTGGGTAACAAATACACTCCTATCGAGAATTGAGGTTAAAAGGTTAGTGGACAGTGTTGAACGTAGCTTCCTGACACCTATTTCTGAAGAAAACAAAAGCAGGAAGGAAAGAAAAGGAAGTAATAGAGAAATACTATGCGGAGAACTGTCAGGCAAAGCAAGTTGATCTTACTGTGAAATTCTTAGACGGGTAAAACCAGAATCCCTACTGCGTATCTGTTAGGAGGAGGACAAGAATCTAATATTGTAGATTATATTATACTACAGTGTTTTGGCCAGTCCATTCTGCAGCCTTCTTCAGGTGTATAATTTGTAAGGAAAGAAAAAAGGCCTTCTTTCCAAATCTAGATCAATTCCAAATTTGTAAATATCTAATTGAGATATTAAAATTTTAAAAAATTCATAATTTTATGAATAAAGTTTTAAACTTGAGGAACGCTGTAGAATGGGACAGCTGATGTGTTGGGGTAATAACATCAACACAAGTACACTTGTCTAAACCAAACTTTGAATGTTAATGACTCTTTCCAAATTTAAAGACAATATCAATTTTAAGATTCAGGTGTACTTTTAAAAAAAGTACTCTACTGAAAGTAGACTGCTCATTAAATCCTCTTTTCCTCCATGTAAAACAATATTAGAGTTATTTTACTGTAATAACACTATATTGTGAATTTATTGCTATATTGTCATTTTACCATTACCAATATGACTTAGTGGTTCTGCCCAGTCATATATGTCTTATTGGACTGAAATGCAATTTAGGAATTTTTTGATCATTTTCATTGGTTTATAAACTTGATTTATCCTGTGTAGAGTAGGGTAGGTTGATTTTGGAAGCGTGGTATTGTACTCAATTAGAAGGTTGGGATTTGACATGATAAATAACGACACAAGATAGTTTTTTTCCAAATTGTTACTGTTTTTTGAGGAGACGAATTTAAGATTAAATTGCAGTGTTGGAATTTCATTCCAGTGATCAGTGAAAACCTTATAACACAACCCTATAAAATTTATAATTTACTGAAGCTTAACAAATTTTATATGGACAAGATGCATGGCACAAGTACATTATTGCTAAATCACTGTGACATTAAATAAGACCTTCATTTACTTCAAAGGGAAATTATATTAAACAATTTAGCTATGTTATGATAATATTTTATACAGTGCAGTAGTTTTAGTGCGATTTTCAATGAACAAGGCAAATTTAAAACATTTTTTCTTATAATTTGTGCCCAGCAGTATCAACTTTATTTGTATTTCTTGTTATAGTAAAATTTTGAAGTCAGTTTGTAAGCAAAAACCTGCAGAAATTAGGCATTTCTGTACATTTGTTTTCAAACAATCTTTAAAAGTAAATGCTCAAAAATTGGTAAAAGCTATGAATCTAATTTTTGGTGTCAGTACTTATCACATCAAACCCCAGCTTTCATGCTGAGTATAGTGTTGATTTTTTAAAAAACAAATGAAAAATCAAAATCTGCCCTGGCATTTTGAACATATTTCACTTTGTTTTTAGTGTTTTATCATTTCTTTTCCACAGGTAGCATTATAGATGTTGTTCTGGATTTGAAAACTGTTGAAGATATTGATGGAAGGTAAGAGTAGATTTTAAAACCTTTTTTTAAGAATATCTCAAAGAGAAATCAAATTATGTTTTCACATCCTTGGTAGCAACCTTCAAAATTGTCATGTTTTTCCTTTTATTCATCAAATTGTGATCTTTTATTTTACTTAATTGAATATGGCAATGTTATTTTTTTCTGGATGAAGCATTGTCAACAATTCTTATTAACCCTAGAACTCTAACTATGGGTATAATATACCCAGTGTTGTAACTTTAATTGAAGGTTAGTGTTCTAGGGTTAATGTTTGACTTGTATTTACTTTCATCTTTATTTTTTATTAAATGAAGCATTGTTAACCATTATTAATTTTTGACTAGTATTTATTTTCATTTTTCATTAGATAAAGCATTGTCAGCCATTATTATTAATTTTGAACAAACATTTACTTTCATCTTCATTTTTTATTAGATGAAGCATTGTCAACCATTATTATTAATTTTTGACTGGTATTTAAATTCTAAAATATTCTGAAATATATAAAAAAAGTAAATAAGATAATTCTTAACAAAGAACTTTTACTAGTCTATAACTAAACTTGTATAAATGAAAAATTACTGCCCAAGTAAACCCAATTCAATATTAATAATAATGGAAATTTACAGATTTGGCACTTTAATTTTTGAATTTGGTATTAAATTTTTTTTTATGAAAAAGGGATTAGAGCCATTAGCACAGTTTAATATTGTGTATTATTATAAATTTCTTTATAGATAGAATCTGTAGCCTAAACTCAATAATATCACTTTTGGAAGTGGCGTTTACAAAGTTGTGCAAAAGTAGGTATACAGTAATGAAAGACAAAACGTGTGCACATAACATACTTTACTGATCATAAAAACATGTTTATTATTGAATAAACATATCAGTCTCATATAATTATTATTATTGAATAAACATATCAATCCCATATAATTATTATTGAATAAACATATCAATCCCATATAATTATTATTATTGAATAAACATATCAGTCTCATATAATTATTATTATTGAATAAACATATCAATCCCATATAATTATTATTGAATAAACATATCAGTCTCATATAATTATTATTATTGAATAAACATATCAGTCTCATATAATTATTATTATTGAATAAACATATCAATCCCATATAATTATTATTGAATAAACATATCAGTCTCATATAATTATTATTATTGAATAAACATATCAGTCTCATATAATTATTATTATTGAATAAACATATCAGTCTCATATAATTATTATTATTGAATAAACATATCAGTCTCATATAATTATTATTGAATAAACATATCAGTCTCATATAATTATTATTATTGAATAAACATATCAATCCCATATAATTATTATTGAATAAACATATCAGTCTCATAATTATTATTATTGAATAAACATATCAGTCACATATAATTATTATTATTGAACAAACATATCAATCCCATATAATTATTATTGAATAAACATATCAATCCCATATAATTATTATTGAATAAACATATCAGTCTCATATAATTATTATTGAATAAACATATCAGTCTCATATAATTATTATTGAATAAACATATCAGTCTCATATAATTATTATTGAATAAACATATCAGTCTCATATAATTATTATTATTGAATAAATATATCAATCCCATATAATTATTATTATTGAATAAACATATCAATCCCATATAATTATTATTGAATAAACATATCAGTCTCACATAATTATTATTATTGAATAAACATATCAATCCCATATAATTATTATTGAATAAACATATCAATCCCATATAATTATTATTGAATAAACATATCAATCCCATATAATTATTATTGAATAAACATATCAGTCTCATATAATTATTATTGAATAAACATATCAGTCTCATATAATTATTATTATTGAATAAACATATCAATACCATATAATTATTATTATTGAATAAACATATCAATCCCATATAATTATTATTGAATAAACATATCAGTCTTATATAATTATTATTATTGAATAAACATATCAATCCCATATAATTATTATTGAATAAACATATCAATCCCATATAATTATTATTGAATAAACATATCAGTCTCATATAATTATTATTGAATAAACATATCAGTCTCATATAATTATTATTGAATAAACATATCAGTCTCATATAATTATTATTATTGAATAAAACATATCAATCCCATATAATTATTATTGAATAAACATATCAGTCTCATATAATTATTATTATTGAATAAACATATCAGTCTCATATAATTATTATTGAATAAACATATCAGTCTCATATAATTATTATTGAATAAACATATCAGTCTCATATAATTATTATTGAATAAACATATCAGTCTCATATAATTATTATTATTGAATAAACATATCAGTCTCATATAATTATTATTGAATAAACATATCAGTCTCATATAATTATTATTATTGAATAAACATATCAGTCTCATATAATTATTATTATTGAATAAATATATCAATCCCATATAATTATTATTGAATAAACATATCAGTCTCATATAATTATTATTATTGAATAAACATATCAATCCCATATAATTATTATTGAATAAACATATCAATCCCATATAATTATTATTGAATAAACATATCAATCCCATATAATTATTATTGAATAAACATATCAATCCCATATAATTATTATTGAATAAACATATCAGTCTCATATAATTATTATTATTGAATAAACATATCAATCCCATATAATTATTATTGAATAAACATATCAATCCCATATAATTATTGAATAAACATATCAATCCCATATAATTATTATTGAATAAACATATCAGTCTCATATAATTATTATTGAATAAACATATCAGTCTCATATAATTATTATTATTGAATAAACATATCAATCCCATATAATTATTATTGAATAAACATATCTGTCTCATATAATTATTATTATTGAATAAACATATCAATCCCATATAATTATTATTGAATAAACATATCAATCCCATATAATTATTATTGAATAAACATATCAATCCCATATAATTATTATTGAATAAACATATCAGTCTCATATAATTATTATTGAATAAACATATCAATCCCTCAAATGTTCAAACTGTTTTCCGCTGTCATTCACACACTCCTCTTTACCTGCAAAATATTTATTCTTATTTATTAAAATATCAAAATCGTGATAAATGTATTATAATAAATATTATGAAAATAAAAATATAAGAAATGATTTTAATGAATTAAATGAATTTTAGTGTTAAATGAATCCTAGAACCACTATTATCAGTGTTGACGGCTTTATCTCATATGCAAGAATTTAATTTTTTTGCTGATCTCTTCCTTTATGATGATGGCATTGGTGACTAAATTCGCTGGTTCAGGAGGAGAGGCTTCCATCCTCCATTCCCTATCATTGTCTGGCTTTGCAAAGAGTTGGTTGGAGGTGAAAGAAAATAAGTAGAAGAAAGTGCTGATGGTGTAAATTTGCTTAAGGTGGACTTCAACTTGCCAGAAAGTGACCCACATACTTGATTTCATGACCTTCCTCTGTGGTACATATGGAATGAAACATGCAGAATCCAGTTATGAAGCTGCATCAGACTGCCACTGACTTATAATTTCAAGTGGTGCCTTCTGTAGAATGTCTGTCATATGTAGCCCTCTTCGTCTGCTGGTTCAACCATTGAGATCTGTTGTAATTGTCATCCACTTGAGTCTTTGAGGTTGGTTGTGCTAAGTCTGTTTCCTCATGTTGCCACCAAGGCTGACCCTACCAGGAATTTAGAACTCCTGACAACATCACTCTCAGAGTCATTAGACCATGCAAGCTCTGCCACCACAGCAAAGGGTAACCATCTGAGGTCACTATTATAATACTTACTAACTTACCAGGCCCTGCAAAACATCAAATTAATTACAAAATATGTAATTTTATAAGTCTTAAATTCAAACCTTTAGTTACTAATAAAAATCACTTCTTTTTATCTTTTTTATTGTTTGTTTAAATTTTATGTTTATTTTCCAGTTTTCTGTCCCTTCTGCATGGGGTACTAAAGCGATACCAATTATGGCTTTGTGCTAACATCTCTATTTTGTGTCCAGAACACAAAGCAAACAGTTATAAAAACAAAGACATTTTGCTTGATGTTCTTTCTATTGATCCACTGCCACATTTAATCAATGTGCCTATTAAACAACATGCTAAATGGAGAGGCAGTCTCGTATTTTCTGATACACAGGTATGACACTTGATTCTTTATTTCATCATTTCTTTTACCCCTGGGAGAAAGTGCAATTACTGTATATTTCCATGTATAAGGTGACCTTTCAATAAGACAAGGTAAAAAAATATAGCAAATTTTAATGAATTTATCCTGTACCGTTGGTATAAGATGATTGCTTATTGATGATATAAAGATGATGTTATTGGAAATGTTGTTACTTACTGTATCCTTAGAAAGTCAAAATAGACGAAACAACAAAACCAATTCTATATCATGTTTTTCCTACACACATCCCCTAAAAGGGAAACCATTGTTTTGTTTACGTCTCTTGTGAAGACTGATTCTTTTTCTTTTTCCTCTTCTTTTCCTATATCTAAACAGTTACAAACAGCTTGGCCATTTACTTATACTTCATCAACAATCACAAAATACTGCTAATAACATTACAATAAGGTAAAATAATAGTACATTTTACTTTCAACATTTTTTTATTCATTATTGAAAGCTTAGCGAAAGATAAAGGTTGCTGTGAAACACAATCATAATTCAATATTTAAATTTTCTCAGCTGAGCTTTCATAGATACAAGTTGATTTTATTGATGTGGAATTATTCTTTGAATAGGCAATTTATTATGAAGTTATGCCAGTAATATATAAAGAAGAAATGGTTTTATCACTTTTATTATCAGTTTATTTGATAATGTGAATCTTTTTATGTATGTTATTGGTTATTACACTGAGGCTGAGGTTACATCACTCAGAATTTAAGGTTGCTTTTTTAGAATTGTAGTATAAGACAATCCTCAATTTTTAAGGGTGATTGTTTTGTATTTAAAGGTAGTCTTATATGCAGAAATTTACAGTATCTTGTAACTCTCTTATTTTAAAATTCCTTCATACAAAAACAAGACATGAAAATCCCCCCCCCCAACGTTTACTTTTTATAATACTACTCCTCCTCCTTTTATCTTAAATTTTTAAAACTGTAGTGGATTGGTAAATAGGATGGTACCTATTTACATTTGTTTAGTAGAAGAATAATAAAGTGTATAGTAAAGTAAAAGATTGACCAAAGTTGACTACTGATCACAATACAATATGGTGTCACTAATAGGATGTTTAAGTCACTCGGATGAACCGTAATTTGTCAAGACTTGGATCCAGTGTTTGCAGCCAAGGCTAAGGCTAAAAAATTGAAAGACAACAAGGCAAGAGAAGAGAGAAAATAAAATAACTAATCTCTTTCTAGCTTCGGCAGGTTGTGAAGCTATAATTAACATTTCAGTTACAGCATACCCCAAACAAGTCGAGAATTTGACTTTTGTCGAAATTTCAGAAATTATAAAAAGAAGTTTACGACCTAAAAAGAAACTTGTCATAGCGGAAATCGCTAAATTTCTGTCCATTAATACAAACAAGATAAATCAATTATACAATATCTTCACAGATTAAGAGAAGCTAGAATCTTCTGCAAATTTGAGAAACTTGAAACTCAAGATTTGGCTATTAAAGATGAAATGAGACAAGATCTCTATTAAAAAGAACATGACATAAACCTCAAGGAGGAGAGGAAGAAAGAGTTTGTAAAAGTTCCAGAACAACTAAAGGCATTAAACCTTTTTTTGGTTCAGGTTGGTGTAGTGGGATTGGCAAATACGATTATACCTATTTGCATATGTTAAGTAGAAGTGATATAAAGTGTATAGCAAAGTAAGAGGTATTTCCATATCTGTGCATCATATGTGGTGTACATGAACCATGGTTTTAAAAGAGGACCCTTAAGAAAAGAGTCTACTATTGAGCAGGACGTCTGAGGAATGGCCTAATCTAATATTTTGTGAATCATATATGACCACAGGATACTTGTTTTCAGATTTATTACTATTGTAACGCAACTCGGCATATTTGGCAAATAGAAGGTGATGATATATAGTGTTTTGCATCATAAAAACCTGTGCATCACGTGATTCACAGAGTGTAGTGCAAATAACTTATGATTTGTATATTCTTATTATGTGAAACACTATTTATCAGCACATTCTGTTTGCCAAATAAGCTGAGTTGTGTTGTAATAGTTATAAATCTGAAAACAAGCATGAATGTTTGGAATGTACACACGAAAATACCCTGATCAGACAAAGAGTTAATAAGCTATCAAGTTCAGAATCCCGTTACGCTCTAAAGGAGATAACTTAGTTCAGCCGTATATTTTAAATTCATATAAATCAAATTTTATTGGAAATACGATTAACGATGTCGAAGCCAGAAAACAGGGAAAACTGTTTTGTAACTTCATTTTACAGCCTCATCCAATTGATCAAGAACTGCTTGATGCTACCCATTTCTGCAAGTCATCAAATCAGCTTGGATTTATATGGCTTTTCAATCAGAACAAGCGAAGGAAAATAATAAGAAAAAAGAAATAATTGTTTTGTGAAAATTTTAATGACTGCAATTTCGTGTTTCCCTAAATGATAATTCTGTTTTTATTTGCAGAATGGTAAGGAAAAATTATTTCCTGGATTTTTATTAGAGACGACAATAAAATCCTCTCCCATTAATGTCGACATCAAAGCTGAAACTCCAGAAGACAATTCTCAAACGAACACATCTTTTGAAAAGGTGAGTGTCCAATGCTGGTCATTGTAACAGAAAAAAAAATGTTGATCATTTCTGTTACTATTAAAATGTTCTGTTTTTTTTAACACATTGGCTTCCAAGCCTGATTTCCCTTGTTCTCCCAGGGTCCTAATACTATATTTTAATTCATTTTGGTACAAGCGACTTTGTTTTAATATTGTTTCATATGAGGTAATGATATCATAGGTAGTATTTATTATCCACGACCCACCTATGTATTGTTTGATACTTGAGCCCATTTTAAAATCCAGAGTCCTACATGACCCACATGAATGCGTGGTACTGCTCTGTATGTAAAAATTAAAAAAATGACCCCCCCCCCAAAAAAAAACGACATTAGAAATTCCAAAAAGAAAACTAAATAAAAGACAAAAAAATCAAAAATATTAAAATCTTTTTGAAAAAAATGTGATTCTGGTGTACCATGATCTCATCAGCAATCAATCATAGCATCCCACTCCCAGTAATCCTCATAGAAAAAAAATAGAAAAACAACCCCCAGAGATTTGTGTGTGGGCCTTGCAGAAATGCCATCACAACCCTCTGCTGGGTTGTGTGGGGAAACAATGTGTTACGTGATAAATTTAAATCTAAAACCCAAATTTAACTAACTTGCCAAACACTATATCAGCTTTTACTCATAAAATATTTCTGAATAATTTTTGTTCAGCCTGAATAGAACCACTGCAAATTTCTCAAAAGATTATTAATAAAACATGTACACAATTTCTAAATCATTTAGGATATCCACCATTTGGTGTCAGACATTTTGGTATCCACAGTTTAACATAAAAATATTTCAGTAAAAGCACCAACCAGTTTTTCAGAAATTGGTTAATTTACTTCAAGTGGCAGGCATTTTAATGGCAATTGACAAAGGGAATTTCACCCATAATGGCCACCTCTATATTTTTAATTTGTTCACTAAAATAGATAAAACTAATTGTTTTGATATTTTGAAAATATGAATGCATGAAAGAAGAATTCATATAAAAAGTGAAGTAATTTTGAAATCAGTCAACAACAACAACAGTACATCTGCTCCGTTATTTAAAGTAGCAAAAGTTAAAATAAACTAGAAAAGCCTTGTTCAATAAGCCTTTGAAGTTACTTCCGTGATTCTCAATGTTCAACAATGTGTCACAGGCAGTCCAAAAAGCAATTCCTTGTTATCTTGTCATTTGATAATGAAATGAAAATTGTGATTTTGCCACTGTGTGTGTAATGCCATTAAGCTACAAATGTCAGTGCTAAAAAATACAAGTACTAAAATGTCAGGTTCCAATTTGGCAAACTTGAACTTTTGTGCCTGCAAAGAAAAACAGAGTTTTTCCATTGATATCACTATTATTTTAACTACCTTCAATCCTTGACAGTGTTTATTGTTTTAAAAAGCGATGATTAGAATTGGAATAAAACTTAAACATATGAAAGTGAATTTATATATTTTATTTGTTCTTGAGAATTAACAACAAAAATAATAAACACTATTTATTTATTAGATTGTCTATTGGAATGGTTGGCAAAACATCAGCTAATTGACAATCAATTCAAACTTTATAAAATGGTAAATAGGGATTTCTTTAGAGTTGGTTCACATTTTAATAATTTAATAAATGTTTATAAATTTATGAATAAAAATTGTTTTTGTATTTCTTTCTTTATAAATTATTTAATGATAAATATTGCATTTCATTAGTTATGATCGTATTAGTTTTTAGAATGTTGTAAATATAAAATTATTCTTTTAAATAAACAATCTAATAAATAAATAGTGTTTAATATGGGGTTCCGATAGGTCTGTAAAAAAAATTCCAGTTTTCTAGGACTATGTTAAAAAGTTTCAAGGACTGAAACTGTTACACACACAGTTAATGGTCATCAATTTCAAAAACACAAACTTTGTGATTTATCTTTTAATAACTTGACAGATGAGATGTTCAAAGAAAAGCTATAGCTGGTTACAATAATGTGACACTATTTAGCTATGGTAATTGGTTAACTAATTAACCATAAAAATTACACATGAAAATACTGAGAACGGAAAAGAAGATACACCGAGAATTTTTTTTTTTTTTTTACATTAAAAATAAAACCAAGTTACTTTTCTCAAAAAAACCCCAAGAATTGGCATGAACAGTGAACTCACAAAAAGGCCATATGCGAGCTTTTGACAATTGATTAATGATGTTTGTAAAAGTAATGATTAACAAAAAAACTAAGATATCATCTTAAGTGCTGGCAAGGCACGGCCATATGGTAATTATAAAAAGTTTTGGCATGAGAAAATATTCTGAAATATTGTCGATATGGGTTAGAGAGAATTACCCTTGTTTATTTTTCCAAGATGTCATCTTCAGTACCGACATTAAGTAGCCATGTGTTGATTATAAAATTTTGGCATGAGAAAAATATCTTGGAAGAATTGCCGATTTGGAGATAAAGAAATTTATCAATTTATTTTTTTTCTCAAGAAGCCAAGGGTTCCTGTAAATGCTAACTTCATGAAGGGACCAGATGGCAGACTTTGACAATTGATTGATGGAGTTTGTTGTAAAAAGTGCTGGTTAAGAAGACGCAGTGTGACCAAAAGATCCGAGAGATTTTAAGTGGCAATGTGGGATTTGTAAAAATTTTGGCCAATGGGAAAGAGAATTTTGTAAACTCAAAATTCTTGGTTATAATTTTAATGAGGCCAGCTTAGCCACGCCTACACTGGCAGGATGCCATTGGTCGAATGGTAGCAATGGTGATAGGCGGAGGTAATTTGATGAGAAAGACGGGGAAATTATTAACACCCATTGAAAGGATTGGTATGAGGTATCAATATGAGAAGGAGGGGATTTTTGGAGGATAGCTCTCCTACAACCTCTCCTCATGGACGAAGGGATCCCCCCCCAAATGGAAAGTGATTAATTTTCCAAAGTAATCAATAAAGTAATCAATTTTCCTGGCCTGACAACAAAGAGGTTTTTTGACAGAAATCAGGATTCACCAAAAACCCAAACTGCATCTAACCCTGCACCAGTTTTTGGTCAGTATGCTCATAAATGAACGTCCTCAGGCAGTTCAACATTAGTTCGTGAGTTGGAGTCAACAGTAGTTCACCAGTTAGAGCCTTTGGAGTTGCAGGAATGAGAGTGTTGCCTCGCAGAAGCTGACCGAGAGATTCCACAACCTCTGACTTTGCCTATCCTACCAATAGCAAGTTATACTGACAAACGAAGCTCAGCCAGCACTTAAAAACTAAACCAGTTAACTTAGAAGACCAGAACTTGCCTAGAAGTGTAAAAGTATCACATTTTGTAGAAAACAAGTTGGGAGAAAAACACACACTCCTGTATATAAAAGACGGATAAAAGTTAATTTGTTACTTCCAACATACTTGAACCTCTTAGGATTTATTTACTTCCTTTCTTTACACTTGTGCGATATCACCTCCAGTCTAGACTCATCTTATACTACGGCCTGATGCCTGATAGATCTCATCTATCTAAGATCAAAATCACAACGTGGGTAGGTTAGACTTGAGATCGAAGCAGTTACTTCGGTAACCAGATATTGGAAGTGAGCTGGGAACAATGGAGCTGGCGTCGAACCAGTTGCAACTGGTGTGAAGCCGTTAGCATCGATCAACCATCCCAATTGGTACCCTGACCAAAGGATTCCACCTAGTAGTGACGACCACCAGGACACAGGCTGGTGGCAGTGACTAAGAGTCAACCTCAAAATGCCGGTAGGAGAAATAGCAGTTTTGCGCCACAACTGGGAGTTGACCCCCGGCCGACAGCACAGTGTCACAATAATTAATGTCACATGGATCAGTTAAAAACAGTGAAGAAATCCAAGTGTTGATGGTTAAAACACATTAAATGACAAAAATTTAAAAATTTTTCTCCTTTCTAAAATGCCCACTACTGACACCAAAATGTCCGGTTCCAATTTCTTATTGAGGATTTGGCAAACCTGAACCTTTGTGTCTGCAAAAAAAAAAAACAGTTTTTCAGTTGATACCATTATTATTTTACCTTCACTTCTTGGCAATGTCTATTGTTTAAAAAAAACAATGTTTAGAATTGTAATAAAACCTAAACATATGATGAAAGTGAATTTGTACATTTTTTTGTTCTTGAAAATTTGCAACAAAAATATTAACAGGATTTGTACAGGTGTTGGAAATCTTGAAAAGTCCTGGAAAATTGACAGACTTTTCCAGGGATTGAAAAATCCTGAAAAACAGCAAAGCCCAATAGCTCCTTGAAAAGTCTTGGAATTTTCTAAATTGGGCTGCCCACACATCCCTTTTCTCAATTCATGAAAGTTAAAATGCCAAATCCCAGAAGTCTGGATTTTTTTTTACAAGCTGAACTTGTCCTTTAAGAAAAATGTTTTTTTTTAGTCGTCATTAATATTTGGCAAAATGGTGGTTTGTTTCCTTGATTAGAACAAGTTCATGATCTCATTTTCTCGTCACCTAGATGAGAAAGAAAGGGAGAAAGAATATGAAGGCATGTTTTCACTTAGCTGCTACCATCACCCTATATGAAAAGAGGATAAGCAAAGATGAAAGGCATCACAGACAAGTAAACATCTCCATCAAAGATAGATTAATTTACACTCATTGAATTTGTAGTTGAAAAGAAAATAATAAATTATTTGACAGTAAATAAAATACATTTTCATAGAAGCTGTTGCTTCATTTCCTTGCAGATGATCCTTTTAGCATATTCATGAAACTTAAGCTTTGTAAAGGAATATCACACTAAAAAGATATTTATATTTTCCAAACTGAATGAATTTGTAAGAATTTTGTCAAACTCAAACATGCATAAAGATGCTGCAAAGATTGAGTGTGGATTTCTGGCAGATAGTAGGGTTATGCAAAATTTATCCAAAAAAGGAAATGTGTCAAGAAAAGATCTGTTTGCATGCAGAGTTACAACAAAGACAATATTCATCATCATCACTGAGAAACTTCTGGTAAAGTAACCCCTTAGATCCCCTCTTGTAAGGTCACTTGCATGGCTGAACCCTGGATCCATTTGTGAAAAAAAATCTGCCACAGAAGACAGTCTAAAAATGATTGTGATGACATCATCAGTCTGTATAAAGAGTTTGAGGAAGAGGTGGCTGCTGGAAATATTGCTTTCAATAATTTCATCAAGCATGAAGACTGTCTGGGCACATTGGTCTACCCTTTGTCTCAATAGAATAAAAACACTTTTATAGCTTAATGTGTTTGTCTTCAACATTTGAATTTCTTCCCTGCTTTCAACTGATCCATGTGACATGAATTATTGAAACCAGCTATAGCTTTTCTTTGAACATCTTATCTGTCAAACTATTAAAAGATAAATCACAAAATTTGTGTTTTATAAATTGATGACCATTCACTTTGTGCGTGTGTGTGTGTGTGTTTTGCCAACCATTCTAATAAACAATATAATAGTGTTTATTAGTTTTGTTATCAAGTCTCAAGAACAAAGAAAATGTATAAATTAATTTTCTAATCATAGCTTTTTAAAACAATAAACATTGCTAAAGAGTAAAGGTAGTTAAAATAATAGTTGCGTCAATGGAAAAACTGTCGATTTTTTTAGGCATAAAGTTCCAAGTTTGCCAAGGATTTTTACACGGCTTTTTTTGAATGGCTTTATGAAAGTAAACTTTTTCAAAGCAAATGTATTTAAAATTTTATTGAAAATATAGCAAATTACCAACCAGTCTGAATTTTTTATTATAAAAATATTTTTTTGTTTTCATTTTTCTCTTTTTCTAGAATAGGTACCAAGGAAAAATTAAGAAAAGTTTGTCAAAATCCAAATTTGAAGAGAGAGAAATAAAGGGAGATAATTTCTCCCTCTTAATTTCTAATTTTAAATGTGTTTAACATATTTGTGTACATTTTAATTCCAAAACTGTGCTTTTTTCTTTTTTTTTTTTTAAACTAGTTTTGCATATCTCAGTCCTTTTTCCATTTTTGTAGTTTCCTGCTATGATCTGCAAACTGGAAACCATGTCTTGTCTTTTCCAATATAAAAATTGTATTTTGATTAGGATTTTCCTGTTACTTGGAATATTTAAGAACAACGACAAAGTTTTCAGTAGTTAACTTGTTCTAACAATTGGATTTAGTTCAAGAGTTTTCATTGGCTTTAACGAATTTTTGCTTGTTTGAAATGTTAACAAAATAGAATTTTTACTTTTCCATTTCAGATTTCTTCTGTCTTCAAACTTGGCAATCTCATGAAGATTTTAGATTTGGTTGATGTTCATACAATTCCACTTTTCCTGATTAAACCCAAACTCTATAAATTGTATCCTTTTTACAAGTTTATTTGCAAAGAATATATCTTTTTATTTATTTTTGGAAGGGTAACTATTGTATTTTTCAACCACCAAAATTTATAATGTTGACTTTCTCAGTTTCAGACACATTGTAGAGTTTGTATGACTTTTATGTTGTTTTTTTTTATTATTTCTACATTTTCCTAGATATTTGACAGCTATTTTGATATTTTATTCTGTTAACATGAACATCATTTAACAGGAATTAATAAATTTTCATTTGACTTTTTATGGATGTAACAGCTTTTTAAATTAGCTGATTATTTTTCTTCATTCTTTTTCTTTAGCATGTGGACTATTTTCCTCATCTTTGTTGTTTTTATCTTTTTTTGGATGATCTAGAGACATCCTTAGAGACCTGCTGTATTTTGGCATATCAAGTGGTTCTCCATTTTTGCACCCTTTTCACTTTAAGACAAAATGTTATCCACCACTTTTCAAGAAAGAAACGTACAAGACCAAATTATGTCACAGCCTAAGTCTCAAACACAAATTTAATTTATATTTAAGCCACAATGTGAGATTTAACTCAGGATATGATCTCCTGGATTCCTATAAGCAAGGGATGTCTGCAGGATGGGAACGGGGTATGCAAAATACAATAATCAGTGAAAGAATGACTGTGAATACATGGAGCCAATTTAATATAAACAGTTTAATAACATGAAAACAAAAGGAGGAAGTGAGTGTAAAAAGAAATATTCTGTTTGGGTGACATGCAGTGAATGTGACATATAATACAGGGATATCAATCATGTCAATAGAATTCACGTAAATCTCTATATTTGAGAATAGATTTGCTTGTTTATACGTCTAAATGTTCAATGAAACTTAATTTCAGCTATTTACAAGAATTTAGAGCCGTTTAGTTTATACATATGTCTGTTGAAAGATTTTATTTTAAATATCGTCTTCTTTTATGACATAAGCGACCATGACTCTCCACGGATACTTTTTTATCAAAGAATTGTCATGACTTCTTAAATAAGATAATGGAGAACATTCCCATTGTTTTATTTAGGGTCTTGAATTAGTGTAATTTCGCATAGAATGGCTGTCATTCAAGGCTAGATAACCCAGTCTACTCTGCTATTTATGGGATTTTTATTTATCCGTGCCTTAGAGTCAATGTATCAAATGTTCTTAGAAAGACTGAATCTGTGTGATGAGTTCATAACAACAGAATGTCTGGATTCATGGATAAACTCAATGATTATTATCTGTTAAGCAGATGTTACAGACATTGGTACTTGAGATACATCCATAATTCATGGATATGGTAAAACTGGTTAAAATCCCCAGTCCCCTTGGTTTCTGGTTCATTTGTTCTGCTGGACAGATACAACACAGGAGAGGATGTCCATCTCGTTCAAGCCCTTTATTCCAACTCACAATTCTTGAATTTTGGCACCTCAGCAACTCTTAGTGGTCACATGATCTGCTATAGGGTTGACTTGTATGAAATCAAAGATCAAGTGTGTCCACCGACGTCATTAATGGTGTAGGGAAATAGATCTTTTCCATGTCACCATTTGCTTACAAGTATATGTGAAACAACTGGCCAGAAAGGAAAAGAAAGGAAGAAGAAAACAATGTCCTTAACAAGGATATTAGTCCTTCTGCCTCTTCCTTAACACGATGATATTAGTTTTCACATCACCCTCTAAAAGTGCATTTCAAATAATATGCATATATTATTGAAAATCTTCATCCCCCCCCCATATTAATACATATACTTTTACATGGATTATTTTTATAGAGGAGTTTTACAGATTTAATAGCAATAGAAAATGTTGATGGATTTTTAAACTTGGATACATGTAGAGGAATTTTTTACACTATTTACAGTATTCGGACTGTTGTCCTCATCTTTATTGTCACATTCACAATGTTTCAGCTGTTGTACACTCCGTCATCATTCTTCAGATGATATTTGTTTGAATTTCGAACCGTACTCAGAATAGTCAATCTATATGTTGATGTTTCTGAAGATTGGTTCAATAACATTTGCATAGATATTCTTCCCATGTTTATTTCCTGAAATGGGCTGATATGTTAATATTCTTGTGTTTCTCAATAAAGTCACGGAGAATTTTTTCCATTTCCTCCAATCTTCTGAAATGCCAACATACAGATTGACTATTCTGGGTTTGGTTTGAAATTCAAACAAATGTCACCTGAAGAAGGCCAGAGCTTACAACAGCTGAAACGTGAATATGACAATAAAGATGAGGACAACAGTCCAAACTATGTAAATAGTTACAATACCTCATCTCAGAAATATAAACTGATGTAGAGTAATTTGTTTGAATTCATAACTAATTATTAAATAAATAAACTGAAGCATAATTCAATAAATGTTCAATAAAATGCCTGGGTATTGTAATTCAATAAACAAAATTCTGTAAATAAAAAAACAAGAAAAAGTAAAAACCCTGAAATCTTTCCTTGAAAGAATCCCCACCCACTTTTTGAGAACTCCTGGTCTAAATGAACAAATATACAAAAATGAAAAATTTAAAGACTAATTCAGGAACAAAATTTAAATGTAAAATTTAAAATACTTTTGAATCATTTTTTATAGAAGGTAAATTTTACCTTTCTTACTGTGTAGGTGACTTCATTTGCTGTAAAAAAAAAAAAGTGTCTATCCTGCCACTGAAGGTGAATCTAATCCCTGAGCAATAGTGTGTTTGAATTTCAAAGTTGTGTTGTCATATCCTGCTATAGCAACAGAAAACAACTTTGAGTGAAATTAACAAAATTGAGAAGTGTTGAAAAAGTCTGCAGTGGAAAGTGAGGGGGGGGGTATAATATTAAAAATGCAGAGTGCTAAAGGTTAATATTGCAGTGAGAATGTCCTATTTGGAATCTTTCTCAAAATTAATGGTTCTAAAATAGCGAAATTAATTTTGATGATAGAAACTGATTGATAACTTTTTTAAAATTAGATATGGAAATGTCTAAATTTAAAACAAAAAAAAGAAAATTTCATTAATGTTATTATCTTGAAATGTGGAATCATTATTCAAAGTCAGCGAACATTGATTGACTTTGGTCTGTTCTTGAAAGGTATCGGCTTTGCTAGGTCTGCATTGTGCAAGACAAATTCTATATGTAAATGAATACCAACCAAGATACATCAGGTGGTAAGTGACCGTATGACCATACCAAATCAAGGGATTGATGATGATAATGATATTAAAATTGTCTAAAACAAAGGTTTTTAAAACCTATCAGAATTTGAGAAATAAATTTATACGAAGTAAATTCACTGCCCCAAAATATTTACTCCTATTCTTAACATGCACTTTAAATTGCTTATAGTTACATTTTCTTTTTTATTTACTTTTAAGAAGATAAAAGTTTTTTTTTTAGATATGATAAAAGGAATTACCAATATAAAATATGGACACACTTTAACCTTCATTCTTGCAAAAAACCAGTGTTTTTTTCCATGACACTTCTATTATTTTAACTCTATTCACTCCTTGGCAATGTTTATTGTTTTAAAAAGCAATGATTAGAATTTTAAGAAAACCTAAAAATATGATGAATGTGAATTTATACTTTATAATTATTTTTTGTTTGTTCTTGACATTTTACAACAAAAATATTAAACACTATTTATTAGATTGTTTATTTACAAGATTCTAAAACCTAATACAATTAAAACTAATGCAATATTTATCATTTCCTGATTTGTAAAGAAGTAAATATGAAAAATTTTTATCCATAAATTTATAAAGATTTACTAAATTGTAAAAATATGTGAATCAACTTAATCCTTATCATTTAGCAATTAGCCAATGTTTTGCTAACCATTTCAATAAACAATGTACTAAATAAATAGTATTTATTATTTTTGTTGTCAATTCTCAAGAACAAAGAAAATGTATAAATTCATTTACTCATGTTTAGGTTTTATTACAATTCTAATCATCACTTTTTCAAATAGTTAAAATAATAGTGGTGTCAATGGAAAAACTGTTCTTTTGATGCTCCATGTTCTTTGCAGACATGAATGTTCAAGTTTGGCAAAAAATGGATAAATTCTTAATGTGCTTGTACATTAAAAAATCTCCCTTCAAAAAGCAAATCTTTGTGAAATCTTATGTTCTTTTTATGTTACATAATTTACATTATTTGGACTGTTATGCTTATCTTTATTGCCATATTCACAATGTTTCGGCCATTGTAAGCTTCATCTGTCTTCAGGTGATTGGAATTTTGAACAGAACTCTTTATTTGAAGTTTTATTTATAGTCAAGTTGAAGGGAAATAACTGAGACATCCAGAAGAGGCATGACATGTGGAACTAGAACAATCTAGCCTGGTGGATAAAATAAAGGGCTTGATTCAAAATTCCAATCACCTGAAGAAGGCCAGAGTGTATAACGGTTGAAACATTGTGAATATGGCATTGAAGATGAGGATAACAGTCTGAATAATGTAAATAATCGTAATACCTCATTTCAGAGATATAGACAAAACTATATTTATTCAACTTTGTTGCTCATTTTGCTATTTTTTCATTTTTTTTCCTGAACTTTTCTCAGGTCATTGCAAAATTCAAATCCTCATTCCCAAAACATCTTGCAATACTTTTCTAGCTTGGAAAAGGTAAGTGTAACAAAATTTGTCCCCAACTCAATTGTTTAGGGTTAGTAACCCTTAGTGAATTATGAACTGAACCCTTTATTTAATCTATGGGGATAAATTGTTCTTGTAATGTTAGATAATTTGTTTTGTTTTTATTTTTAGTGCTGCCCAGTTATTCCTTACCCTGTTCCCGCTGCTCAGTTGTTTCACACCCTGTTCCCACTGCTCAGTCGTCCCACACCCTGTTCCCACTGCTCAATCGTCCCACACCCTGTTTTCACTGCTCAGTCATCCTACACCCTGTTCCCACTGCTCAGTTGTTCCACATCCTGTTTCCACTGCTCAGTTATTCCTCACCCTGTTCCCACTGAGTCTAAGTCTGCACTACCCAGCTCAAGCCCAAGTATTGAACTCAATTACTGTACCACAAAATTTATGAACCAACACTTTAATCTTCTAAGAAGAGTGACACCTGAAGAAGGCTGAAAAGTGATTGTAACAACAAAGATAAAGACACTAGTCCAATCATAAGTAATGTAAGTAAAGATTTGAGGTTTTTTTTTGAGGAATTCTCAGTGACTTTACTGAATGACCCAGGAATGTGAAGGTTATATGTCAGCCCATTTCAGGAAATAAACATGGGAAGAATGTCTACACTAACACCATCAAATCATCAGAAATACCAACATACAGATTGACCATTTTGTGTTTGGTTTGAAATTCAAACAAATATCACCTGAAGAAGGATGTAGTGTACAACAGCCGAAACGTTGTGAATGTGACAATAAAGATGAGGACAACAATATAAATAGTATAAAAACGTTTTACTTGTTTATGTTAACCTTTCTTATGTTTAACATTTCTATGTATGTGTTGGATTGTTCGCCCATTATATTTTTTAAGTAGCTTCATTCTAACTTGCTGCTATTATGTAATTTTAAGATATATGCAGTATTCAGTTTATTTGAAAGGCATTATCTGTTGCTATTTTCTTTTTGCAGATAGCTATGATTGTAAGTGTACCTAGATATAAAGCAAACTCAACCATTCCTACTTACAGTTCTATGGAACTTGGCACTTCAGCATGGAAAGAATGTGTGATGGCTGATTTAGCACAGGGTAACAATATTTTCTGCTAATTGCAGAAGTATTTGTTGGCATTATTGTTTCATGATCACTATTGTATTCAAGATTGTAGATTTTAATCTTTATTGAAATTCTCACTCAATTGATTAATATTAATCTATGAAGAAGCTCTATATGCACTTTTTCCCCCTAACAAATCTCTTTTGTTAGTAAAATTTATTGTCTTTGAAACTTTAGCTTTAGTTGGTAAAATCTGCTGTCTTTGAAAATTTACCATTAGCCAACAAAATTGGATGTCTTTAAAAACTCCTTTTAATGATCACATCAAGTGTGCATCATTTTCATATTAATTTGTCATTCCAAAGATTTGAAACAAAATGAAACAATTTTGGTATCGAGCTTTGAGTAAATTTTATACTTTCATTTCCATGTTTTAAAAATATGATAATCAGACTTCAGGGTTAGCTTTTTAGAATTCAATATTATAAGTTTATTTTTCATTTCATAGAAATCAGTTTTGTAAAACAATACGTCTTTCATAAAGAACATAGACTTTGCTGGTGTTGAGAGATTTTCAAATTTAGAATTCTTTTTTTTTTTCAGATGCTGTACCTCATTATAACCATCACAATAGTGATGTTGATGTTGTCCATATGGTGTTAATCCACAAGGATTCCTCATCGTCCATTGTTGATGGTCAGAAAGTTTTTTCCCATTCTCTTCAAGCATACCTATTGCGTTCACCATCAGAACTTAGTGGTCAAATGATGGACGTTTTGCATCTGACACCTCAGTTGTACTTGAATGATGAAGACCTTCCTGAGCCACTGCTACCGGATTTACCTGTGATCAATGGGAAAATGCTTCATAAGATGCACACCCAATTGGCCAAGGCACAATTTACTGCTCTCAAATGTGAGTTGTCTGTTGAAATTATTTTACTAAAGACCAAAAATGTTCCTTTATATTAAGTGAATAATTTGCTGGTTGACAATATTTCTAACAGCTTAGGTGAATTTATATCTATAATTCTCAAAATGTGTGTGTGTGTGTGATCAGATGTTGTTTACGTGTTTCCACAGTTTTCATCTGATTTTGATGAATTTTTTTTTGTTTGATAGATAATTCTTCAGCGCCAGTTTTGAGTCCAAATTGGCTGGAAAAAAGGACAACCTTGAAGGTGAAAAATCAAAAAAACTGATTTTTTACACTTTGCACAAAATCAAAAGCAAAATTTAATGTCTGTAAAAAAAACAGTGTACAATCCATTTAGAGAGTTGAAATCTAATGCAAAAGATTATTAAAATTATAAAAAAAAATATAAATAAAAATTATTGTATATTATTATTATTATTATGACAGTCCATGGAAGCGTTTCCTTCCTTGCAAGATTTTGAATGCAAAAACGTCCCTTTTCAAGACCACCTTCAAATTCAAATTGTTAACCACCCAACCCCCCAACCCCAATTTGGGGGACGTGCTTCAGTTGCACCCAATTGTTGTTACTAATATTGATTTTCATCCTGATTTTTGAACATCAAAAATTCCTAAATAATAAATAAACAGAGCACCTACTCAAATAAAAGTATTGACTAAAAATAATGTTTTACAATCAACACCCTCAATCCGGCCCGCGAAGGCATTTTGACCGGCCCACAAGTCTGTACTACCTGGCCCAGGGATTGAACTCTCAATTACTATGCCAGCAAAATCATGAACCAACTATATATAATATGTAATGATGTAAATATTGGGTTGGTGTATAATTATCCGGCATTTTTGTAGGTGAGTTATTTGTTAATAAGAATTGCTGTTTTGTTTACTTTTTCAATAAAAATGTTATTTTATTTTCAGGTTATAAAAATGCGTGTTGATAATCATATGTTCTGGAATAATCATTTAAAAATGTTATTGTTGAATTGTTATGTATCTTTTTTCATAATAAATATTGTTTAAAAACGCCTGATAATTATGCACCAACCCAATAATAACTCATCTCAGAAAATTAGACAGAAAAGAAAATTGTTGAGTGAATAGATCAGTAATTGTGATTAACTTGGTTAAAAGTGTTGTCCGCCTTCCTCTTTCTCCATTTTAGGCCTTGTGTTCTGTTTGTTGGATTTTTGATAATAAATAATAAATCTGTATTCAGGGCCAGATTATGACTTTTGGGGGCCCCTGGGCTAATGAAATTTTGGGGCTCCCACTTCTCATGGTAGCCACCTTGTAAGTCACCTGCACACGTCTTGAATATTTTTTTACTTGTGATATATTGCAGTGATATTTACATAGCTTGAAGTAAACTTATTGCAAATTCTGTGAATAAACTAGAATACTTTTGTTTGTTAATAAAAAATATTCTTTAAGAACTATTTTACTATTGCAAACCAAATCAGCACATATTTCAACACAACCATAATAAAAAAAGATTTTTTTTTATAACCAGCATTATAACCAAACTTGATTGGCTCCAGGCTACAGTCTATACTAATGTATAGAATAACCTGGCCCTATCTGTATTGTATCAATTTCATAAGTCATATCTTTCTACAAATTTTGTTAGTCATTGATTTATTAGGTGACGTTGTTATCATCATCATCATCATATTTTGTAGCAGAGAATTAGCATTTATTTTATACTAGAATTAATATTAACAGTGATTGGATTTCTCAAAGGACACATGTTTGATATTGATAAGTCAGTTATGTGCCATGCTTAGGCAATCATGTATCTTTTGATACATGACTGACGACGCAGATTTTTTCCTGCAGTAGGTTGCCATTTCTTTCTGCAGTAGACCAGTTGCTATCCAAGGCTATAAAACCCAATCTGTCCTGCTATTTACCCATAGGTGTGGGGGAGAAGAAGAGGATTCATATCTTTCCCAAGGGTATTAGCATGTAAGTGAATGTAATGGATTCAACTAATCCGAGCTGCTATTCATTACTCCACCATGCCTCCTGATATTGATAAGACAGACCCTTATTAAACCCTTTTACAGCTGTATACATCTTTTCTCAAGTTTTCAACAATAATTGTAATATCATAAACAAATACACACTTTTTCTGTCACTGTGTATTCACATAATCCATGTAACATAACAAGCTCTGATTTCTTTGAGGTCAAGGAAATTTTATAAGCAAACAATATTTGCTTCAGGAGAAAATACACTTTGTTCTCATTTGAAAGCAGAAACAATTATTAGATTAAATTTATAATCACTAATGTTTCTGACTAAATATTAAGTTTAAACTAAAAACATCTGCCTTTTTATACTGCAAATAAAAAGCATAGTTTTTTTTGTTTTTTTTTTCCTTTTCAGATTGTTGTGAAAACAGTTCATCTCCCACATCACTAAGTTCTCAGGATTTATTTCAGTTCCTTTCACTCATCCAAAAAGAGTTCATTGAGAAAGTTAAAACCAAAATGCCGTTGATACCATGTTTGCCACCCTTTAAAAGGAAGTTTTTAAGATGCAACTTTGGGGGTAAGTTTTTTTTTCTTTAAGATAAGAATAAGAAATCATAATAATGGGTAATTTCTGAGTTCCATAACACCTCAGATCATTGGACACTATAAAAAAAATATCAGCTCAAAGCTGAGGTGCTTTTCTATCCATTGATTCTTTTGTTAAATCCAAAATTGTTTGGGGGCTTAAAAAAAAAGGAAAAGTTCAGAAAAAAGACAAAATTATCAAAAGGTTTATGAACCCAGTGTGATAACCATTGAATTAATATACCACACATATTGTTTGGTATGGTGGTATAGTGGATACAGGCATTGATTAATAAACTGTCACCTAGTAATTGTAAGTTCAATCCTGGAACCAGATAGTGAAATCCATATACACTGGTTCAGCAGGAATGGGCAAGAAACCATTTCAGGAGAATGTTATAATATGCTTTTGGTTGTAAAGGAAAAGAACAAAATAGGATTAAGTGCCAGGAGTTGATTGATTTTTTGGCTTGGTTGGCTGAGGTCAGGCCTGGGTTGAGGTCTTTGATGGTTGGGTAACAAGACTGAAGTGCTGAAGCTGAGCTGCCTGTCATCAGCAATGTTTTTTATATCTTTGTTTTAACTGGGACATCTTTTTCTTTTTTTTTATTGAACTGTTCATGATTGGCTATTGAATTTTGGGATTTTTGTGGAGATTTGTTTTGTGGACCAGATGTAATATTTAGAACTTCTTTTTTTTTTTTTTTGCTTTCTTAGCACTCG